ATAGAATAGATTTGGAAATATTGGCAATCAATGAGTACCTGTTCCAAATCAACATCATCTCCCAATTTCATATTTTTGGTATGTATACGCAGAATTTCCAAACGTCCTGTAGCATCGGGAATACCAATATCTACTTCCCTATCAAAACGACCTGAAAAATAGAGAAAATACAATAGACTATAAAAAATAAAATAGCTTCCAATGCAAGATTATTCACACTATGCATTAGAAGGTTAAATGTCTGCGTCTCAGCAGAGCTTAAACTTCATTAAGTCATCAAAAGCCTTGATGCCCTTTGACATTCCTGTGAGCTAAGACCATTTTATAAATTTTGGATTTGAAAATCTTTGAGTTTTCATTTTGAAAACTATTGCTACATGTCAGCCAAGCACGGGGCTGGCATGTCCGGTCCGAGGTTTGGTGTAAGGGTACAGCGTTGGTAGTCATTTCGCTCCACTCATGTGTTACCGATTGTAATTCACAGTTCACACTATGGGGACAAAATACTATGATAAACCTTGGTCTTGATTCATTTCAAACATACCAAATCTCCTGAGTGCAGTATCAATACTGTTTGGTCTGTTTGTGGCTGCCATGACAATAACATGAGATCTCTGTTTTAAACCATCCATCAGGGTTAGTAGCTGTGATACGATACGACGCTCCACTTCACCGTGTGTCTGAAATGGCACAAAGTATTTTGAGGATTATTAATAACAAATTACAGTGCCCCAACTTACAACTGAATCAGGTATGGAAAAGAATAGGAACTAAATGATGACCAATCAGCCATTTTTGTTGAATGTGCACCTGCGACTTCAAAAGCATGATGCCAATTCAAAGTTAGAATGGAATCGACCTGTACATTTACAAAGCAGTAAGACCTTAATTCAGACTTTGAACATCAGGCAGGAAGATAACTAAAACCCAAGAGCAATGGTGGCATTACCTTTTCTCTTTTTGGTGCTATAGCATCTAATTCATCAATAAATATAATGGCTGGGGAATTCTTCTCTGCTTCTTCAAATGCTTTACGCAAATTTGATTCTGACTCGCCAGCAAGTTTACTCATAATCTCAGGACCTGGGAATAAGAACATCACATTAAGACAATTTACAATAAAGCTACGCAACTTTCATGTAATCTGTAACATACTCTAACGTGTAAAGTTTCAAATAGATATATATATGATAGAGAACCACAAGACATTACTCAGTGTTTAAAAACAGTTTGAGTAATAAACTATACAAGTTAAACAGTGCAGATATGGAATTAAGTTACCTTATCCATGAAACAATGGATGTGTTGGTTTGTTAAGGCATGGCTTACCGTTGATAAGAAAGAAGAAAGCGCCGGTTTCATTAGCAACTGCTCTGGCTATCAACGTCTTACCAGTACCAGGTGGACCATACAATAAAATACCTCGAGGAGGCTGAAGAAGAGACAATAATTCTTGTGGTAATCAGTGTTCGACTCAGGATAATAACTGACATGTCGGACCAGTGTGGGAGCAAAACAAAGAAGCACTGTGGAGGTAACACCACGCTGTTTGAATCATTGGAACACTGGTTAGTTGACAGAACATATGAAATTATTTTTTCTTCACTCATTTCGAAAAATATTATACAAATAAAGAAATGTAATTTAAAGAATGCATCTACAATCCTGGGGAAACAAGCACAAAGAGAAGAAAACTATCAGTGTTAGTTATCATTTAGTATATATACACACCTTGACACCAATGGCTCTGAAAAGTGCAGGGTGCCTGAGAGGAAGTTCCACCATTTCTTTGATTTGAGCCAACTGTTTACGACAGCCTCCAATATCATCATATCCAACTTCATTCAGTGATTCTTCTTCTTCCTGAATTGTAATAAATCATTACAATGATTATTCAATGCAAGCCAAGCACATAGCCGAGATGATGTAAATGAGAATACATCGCAGAAAGTTATATTCTTGAATCCCAATGTTCATCAGTCTATTATTCATAATAAAATTTGTTTGCACTGAAATATATTCACATGCATGTATACTAGTTATGACCATATTCTCAATTTCAATCTGATACCATACTATTACTCACCTCTCTTTTGATTGGTTCTCCTTCACAGTGGATAACGGTATCAGGGGCAACGATACAATACGGTGATGGATCCGTCTCTACAACTTTGAATTCAACTGCTCTCATACCACCTCGCACCTGGAATATGTCGCCCTTTCGAACAGGTCTGTAGGCTTCCAAAAAGTATGGCTTCAAATACACTTCAAACAGATTACTGTACAAAATATAGAGAACAATTCCATTAGCCAAGAAACATTCTGAAACCAAAATAATACACAAAAATATGCATGGATTTTTTCAAACAATATATAGTCAATCTAGTCCTTACCCTGTAAGTCCATCCACTGTATCATCAATTGGTAACACATGTATTCTTTTACCATATTTGACATCTGGGCAGGCAGTCACACTGACAATATCACCAAGACGAACACGCAAGTTATTTCGGACAACTCGATTTATTCTAATCTTATCATTAGCAACACTGTCATCAGATAACACAATACAGACTGTATCACGTCGCTTCTTTCCTTTGAGCAAGACAGTGTCACCACGAAACAACTGTAATTCATCCATTTTGGACTAAAAAATAAAAAAAAATATTTGAGAAAATATGAGCATGTGAACATTGAAATGTTCACTGTTTTTTTAAAATAACGAACAGTATTATACATCTGTCACCGTAAGTTACAGTGAGCTGTAATTTTACATGGAATGATTACATGCGTAAGCATTCTCTTATGAATAAAAACAAACATGGCTGCCACCAGGGTTTGACCAGACTCCACACACAAAGAAGTTCGTTAACTCTGTTCACAACGGCATTCCCATGATGTATCCTTGGAAGGTTATTTGAGAGGATACCTCAAAGTATGCACTCAAATAGTTGCCGTCGATACTTCCACTTCCAAACTAACATACTGATTGATGTGAGTGATGCAAAATACAGAAAATTTGGAAACCCAACTAAATTAGGAACTTCAATTGCATGTACTTTGAAGAACATTCAATTCAGTAGGGCTTAATGCCACGAGAAAACCACAAAAGTTATTTCATTTCCATTGAATCAAGTTTAGGTACCCCCAATTTTTATTTTCTTTCCGTCATTTATTTGTATATTTATTTGAAATTTTCCACATTTTTACTAGTTGGCAATTAAAATGAAAATTATTAAATTCATATGAAAAAAATTAAGTGCTACCATGCAAGATGGATGCACACCATTATCTATTGCAATTTCAATCATATATATTGTTAAACAAATATCATAAATAACTCTTATAATTCACCTGTGACATAGACACAACAGAGTTATCTTCATTGACAGCTTCTTCTACAACCAGTCTATTGGGCCTGGACTTCTGTTTGAGGATGGCAGTAGCCAAATCATCTGGATTTTTACTGCAAAAATATGACAAATAATTACATTACATAGTCCTTTGACAAAGTTGTGAAATTTCAGGAAATGTATAAAGTTTGAACATGACAGAGGAAAAGTGGAATCTGATTCAAAAAACAAAATGTATCAATTAATTCAAGAATGTACCAAGTATGGACAATAGGTGTCCATGTATAACCAAGATCGGGTTCAGAATGGCAGAAATGCTTGATTTATATACATTGTAACATTGAAATGGCCACTTTAAAATTGATCAGCAAACTAATGGATGGGCATATGTGCGACATGTACACATACAGTTTGAATGTGATTGGTCAATGCATGTCAGAAATATAGCTTTGATATAACAAAATAGCCACCAGTCAGCTTTTTTTGAACTGATGAAAATAATGCCCACATATGTACCCGGTCTGAATAAAATCAATCTATATACAACCAAGTACAGGTATGAGAGAAATGCATGATTTGGTACACACTCGAAGCAGAATTTGAAAAGCAATGCATGATGGGAGTCAGTTACGAAGACAAATAACGAGTCATTAAACTGCAATTTGTCAGCTTTCGGCCAGTACAACTCGCAAACAATGCAACTTACTCTAAAATGCAACATTTCAAGTTATAAATATGTTGGCTATTTTTGTTTACTTATTAATTAATCACAATATACTTAATGATGGCATTAACACATTGCCTGCTGAAAGCCTCCAGATAGCAAAAAAGAATAGGAAAAATTGGCATCAGCAGCCAGTGTTCTCCCCAGGCCTCTGAAGCGACACGGTACCGTGACGCTTGGACACTCGATCGTGATGCTTGCCCTTTGTCCGTGACGCTTGGTCACTCAGCCGTGATGCTTATATTTTTGTTTACAAGTGTCAGTCTCGTCTTGCACGTATTTAAAACAATAACATGTATTGATCAATTTAGGTAATCCTGCTTTTGTTAGCCATACAAAGACAGTGATAAAAACGGAAGTCTGCAATATGTTGCGAAGTCTTTCAAAGGTGCAGAGCCTCCAAATCAAAAAACAAGCAGCC